CTCACTTCCTGCACCCCCGCCCCACACTGTGCAGTAGGTACCAGCCGTTTGCCAGCTCACTGGGGCGTGTTCAGAGTCATCTCCTGGTATTAGAAAAACAAACGATGTTAGGAGTAAAAAAAGAAATTTGAAGCGATTTCAAACTAATCTGTCTGAAACTTTGGCCGCGTGTTGTTGTTTGTCTTTAACGGTTGCGTCAGGAAATCGATCGGCGTCGATGATGCAGCTGTTTGGGAAAGAGGTAGACGGAGAAGCTGTGACCTGGATACGGCAGAGTGTCGTCAAGGTCATCGGCGAGAACCTGGTAAATTTAGCTCCACCAGCGATCATCGGAGGTTTGTCTGCGCTCACCTTCGCCCTCTGCTCCAGGCTTCTGCCTTTTTTTTTTCCCCCTCCATGTTGAGCTGGCTCTATCTCTATCTCTGCCTCCACCTCCACCTCCCAGTGACTCCCCGTCCCCCGGCTCCACCTTGACATTCACTCTTTTTCTCCTAAAATATAATATTTATCTCATTCTGTTTGAGTTCACTCAGCCTTATCATCTGCTCTGCTCCGCCTGGCTCTAAGCTGGATTAGTCAGGAACTCATTGGCATGACAATAGTCATGAAATATGTATATCAGCGTCTGAGTGGATGACGGGAAACGCCGTGTATCAACAGTTACAGCCGGCGAGAAACCACAGGAGTACAGTCCACGGAGGGTGACATTTGGGTGTTACACAATAACCTGGGACATTAGTCCACTGTCTGTTTACACCTATTCATACCTATGGGACTTACATTCACTGACAACACTTTTGATGTTGTTGTTTTTTGTTTTGTTTTTGTGAGCAGTGTGGCAGTGATGATCGACTGGCGGCCCATTGGCCAAATTACCCACTTCGGCTCACTACTAGATTCCAAAATAAACATGAAACAATAACGTTAGACAAAACGTGATTCTTATTTTTAGATAATTAGATAATAATAATACATTAATCCCGATTATTTGTGAGCACCAGGACTAAGACCCGTCTTCCATCCTGCTTGTGAGATTTGCCGATGTGTAAAAAGTAAAAACTTCAAACAAAGCAATGTCCAAGTATGTCAAAAGAAAAACAGTTCCATACACCTGCTCAGTGGACGCTCCCTGTTAGCTCAGCGGGGCAGTTCCTCCTCCATCCTCTGAGCCGCCGTGGAGGTGTGAGTCTGCACAGGAACTAATTTAGGTTCCAGCTGTGAGTTGGCTGCAGCAGAGACGACGGTCCACTGTGGGAACAGCAGGACAGTCAGCAGCAGCTCAGCTGGCTGTGCTGTCCGCAAACAGAGGTGTTAATGAATGCTAACCCAAGAGCGGCTAACAATTACAGCCTCATTGCTGCATGGTTCAAACCACTGTGCTGGCCAGCAATTATTCCCAACAACAGCTCTAGTTGACGGTACTTAACTCGGTTGGTTTCCTTTGTTTGTTTGTTTTCTACACCAACTCCTAGCGGCTGATGAATGTTTGAGAGAAACTTCAAGGGATTTCTGTTTTAAAGGTGGAAAATTATTACCCTGCAATATTTCAAACCGAATGTTTGAGAGAAACTTCAAGGGATTTTTGTTTTAAAGGTGGATTTGTAATTGTTGTGAACAATATTTCAAACCCACTGCGACAGTTTCCTCCTCCTCCCACCAGCACATCCACCTGCTCTGCTGCTGCATGTGTAAAATCCTCACTGTCTTTCTGTTTTGTCATCATGTCTTTGTCAGTGTTGACCTTTCTAATCACAGCAAACATCACAGGTTAAACCAAACATTAACAGGTTATAGTAACGATGGATCTTGATTAATTGTGATTATATATAATATATAATCATCAATCATGTGGAAGACGGTTGACTTTTTATGATTTAATGTTTTTTCATGATGATTTTTTTTTTTTTTTTGTTCATCTACCATTGATCCTTCAGCTTCCCAGCAGCCCCTGCTGGTTCCCAGCCTCATATAGACACAACCATTCACACTCGCATTCACACCTATGGTCAGTTGAGAGTGTGAACAGTTTACCTAATAATTAGTCTGTGGACCACCAGGGGTGTAGGCTGGCTATAATCCCACCCGCAGCATAGAGCGCCCCCTGTAAATACACTGAAATCCTAGAATACTACTTAAATGTATTTTATTTTTGTACCTGAAGCATCTGTGCCAATAACCAGTCATTTAGCCAATCACAAAGAAGCTCAACAGAGTGAGTATGAAGCAGCAACAGTTAGCGCACAGGCTGATTATACGACGTCCAGATGATTTATGGTTAGTGAATTGTGGGCGAGTGAGTGTTTTTGCCCTCAACACAAAGCAGCCAATGGGATTTGAGCATGTGATTCCCTGATCCTCCTCCTCCTCTTCTCTTCTATTCTCTGATCCTCCTCCTCTTCTTCTCCTCTTCTTCTCTCATTCTTGTTTCTAACACTTGTTTTTAACCACCAGGCTCCACTGTCCTGGGGGTAATAAGGAGTTTTTGCCACAGACTGTTTGTGTGGGGCGTCAACATGTCAAACTCCGGACGACTCCTTAAGTTTTATGCAACAAAGTTTGTCTATAATTGGGGGCATTGCTGCCAGGCTGCAGTAATTACAATTTCCGCAGCGTGAGAGCCTGAGCCACAGGCCTGTTTTATAGAATGTGGCAGAAATCAGCGGGGGAACAACAAGTGCAAGGGTGTCACCTGTGGGACACTTCCATTACGTGACAAAAGTGAAAAGATAATTTGATTTACTGTTTAGTTAAGCAACCTCTGTCAGAGCTGCTAGCACTGGTAGCGGTCGGGGAGCAGGGAGACTGACTACAAATGAGCCGCTGACCTACCGGGGTCACACATTCAGCAAAACAATTTGTGCTTTCATTTAGCCTGAGATATTGGAGGCTAAAATGTTCTCCACGGTTGATTTTGGACTAAGAGATTGCTGATGGGATATTAGCCTCCAGGATTGGAAATAGTCCTGACAGTCAGTGATGAGCAAACAGCACGGTTTTAGAACTGGAGCATGATGGGAGTTTATTTAACACTGTGGTTGGGGCTGACTCATAGTTGGCTTATTTAAATCCTTCTTTCCGTCTCGTGTTCTTTGTTTACTAATGAGAGAGCTGATGTGACGTTACCTCCAGTTTGTTACAAGATTCTGATCCACTGGGACGTTAGCCTGCTAGCCTGTTAGCCGTTGTGTTTTTGCTTTTCGTGTTTCTACTTCTGTATGCCTCCATATCTCTCTCTCTCTCTCTCTCTCTCTCTCTCTCTCTCTCTCATGTGTACCCAAGCACACTGAACCAAAAACTCACCATTACCCCTTTCTTGGTGAGTTTTTGTTGAGTGGGTGCAGAGCTGGGAGGATGACTGATAATAGTGAGTGTGTATTTGCCAACGTCGCCATAAGAATCCAGAGCCATTCAAAAATATTTATAAAAATATATTTGACAAAGTAGGAAACAATACAGGTTATCTTAGATTACAGTACATGGAGTAAATAATTGAACATACACATTTAGAAGCACTAAAGCACAGTAGAAAATATGATCTGCATGTTGGACTACCCCATATAGTACTATATTGTTTAGTCTACCAAAACTGCCATAATACTGCATCAGTACAAACTGAGTACACACGCAGCTGTAGTGCCACTGAGATTCTCTGAGATGTGCAAGAGCTAACGTGCAGAGACAAAACCTACCACCTCATTGAAAGCTAATGTCATTAGCAGTCACGCTATGTACACTGCTGCCAGCTTTTTTTTTTTTTGTAATTTTTTTTGGATTTTATTTTTTATATCATACAGTTCAAGCACAATATGCACATGGTCTGGATTTGTGCCTTTCTTTTTCTAGGGTGAATATTTGTCTTTGCTAAATGTAAGGGCGGAAAAGTCACAAAAACTAAGTGGAAATCAGTCGCATTGTTGAACATCAAAATGTCATATCGCACATATTTCACATTGAAATAACATGGTACTTAAAATGTCACAGTCCTGCAAATACCCCTTCTTATTACCTCCTGTGGTACCAGGGTGACCAGGTGGTCCCACAGGGGGCAGGACTTCACTTCAATTGAACATTTTTTAAACATTGTCCCTCAGTCTATGTTGAAACAGACGCTGTGATTTAACGTACGTCTGGTCGTTGGGACAAAAGTAGGGCGGCTGTTCTCCCAGGACTATAACTGAACCCAGCGAATGTGTCAATCACAGGTTCACCTAACGCCGTATCACCCCGCCCTCCGCAGAGAGAAGCCATGATGGAAAAGACCAAAAAAAGAAGAGAGATCGCAGCTTCACAAGTTCAGTGGAAAATTCCCTTTGGCTGTGTGTGCAGTCTGTGGAGGTTAATGAAGAAAGAAGGTTCTGGAGCTTCTTTCGTGTCAGACAGCTTTGTTGATCGACAAATATGACAGAAAGTGGAACAGCTCACAAGGAAGTTGACAAAAAAGAGCTGCTGAAAATAAATGAATAAAATTAAAACCATATGTTATAGTTTTTATTTATAGTCAATCAGTGATTTACTGGGGGTGAGGGGACTGATCACATGACTGACCCTGCTTTATTTTTGTTAGCATTTTCAGACAGCAGCGTTTCCCTTTATTTTTGTTAGCATTTTCAGACAGTAGGTAAGTAGACAGGAAAGGTGTAGGGCAGCGTTTCCAAAAGACTGGGTCGCTACCCTCGGGTGGGTCACAAAAGTTTTTTGGGGGGTCAGGAGTTTACGAATAATGTCTATTGACTTGGGTCGTGAAGGTTTGTGACTTATATTAATATGGGTCTCTGGAAAAAAAAGTTTGGGAAACACTGGTGTAGTAGACGTGAACGGTCACATGACCATGAGCTGGAACTGAACCGAGGAAACCACTGGAAAGACTCTCCTCCCACGCATTTATGTGAAAAGTTTCTGGTGGGGGTGGGCGTCTGATGACAATCAATAAAGGAACTGTTTACTTTTAGTCCTTATGATGAAATCCTCCTTCCATTCTAGTCAAGGCTCGGCCGATGACACAGGGTTGCAAATCAGTTTAATGTGAAATCATTTCAAACACCACTCACATTAAATTGTAAGTAAAGGAAAAGAGGATTAGGAAGTGAACACAGATAGAGAACTGAGAACAATAATGAAGAATCAACACGTCTGTTTTCAAAGCACAGATTACAATTGTCTTTAATGCTGCTTCTGTAAAAAGAAGGCCTCAGAGTTTCTACATTTTCTTTTTTTTTGTCTTTGTGTATTTTTTTTATAGGCTAGTAATACTTGCAACCCACACCTGTAGCATGTAAATACAAAGAGTCGTATAAAGCGAGCCTGTCTGGGCTTTAGATAGGTTGTGTATAAATGTGGCCACCGGAGGACATATCAAATGAAAATCAGTTCAACCTTGAAGCCGACGCTGCTCCCGTTTGACGTCTTTTGTTTTTGTTTTTTTCTTTTGTTTTTGATCACTCATACATTCATCATTGTAATGTAGACCGTAGGTATTGCTTTTTTCTCCATCTTTTTGTCCGTCCGCAGTGTCCGTAGTCCTGCTCGCTGCCCCCTGCAGGCGGAGCATGGTAACACAACAATGTTCATGGTCATCGTCCCTTTCACGAAGCAACTACGAGCAGAATGCGGAATCCTCTGCTGCTGCCAGTCTCGGCCGATGACTAACACCCAAAATACTGCTAGACACTCCACAACAGAATCTAAGGTACACTCCACGAGAATCATAGTTCTTCTAAAGATAAAAAAAAAAATACTATTTGGCTTAACAATTACAATGCGCTTGAAGTAGTGAATGACAACTGCTATACTTCACTCTAATAAGAATACAAAACAGTGACCTCCTGTTTCTTTTGACTGGTTGTTTTTAAACACCTGTTACTAAAAGCCAGCAACCCCCTAGCGTTTAATACACAAGTATGTGGACAGAAAAATTACAAAGGTCTTTTTTACCTAACAAACTAAAGGTCAGGTCTCACGGTCGCTCTCACCCACAGAGTAGAGATCCCCAAGTCTTCTGAAGCGCGGGCCCCACTCTCTTAGATAGTCATAGTTCTGGTCCGAGTCTGACGACGCAGTCTCCAGTGAGCTGAGGGAGTCGGCCACCGATCCACATCCTTCGTATCCATAGATCTGTATGGAGTCATAGGGTGGCGCTGTAGGGTCATTATCTGCCTCGTGGAGCCGCACGTTGATGAATTCATCCACGTCCACGCCGTTGGGGCCTGTGTGCTGCCCCGCTCTGGGCATGAACGGTAAGTCGGGCTTGATGTCCTTGCGGGGCAAGTAGCCATTGATGCCGTTGGGGTTTTGCAGCGTGGCGATGTCGAACGCCTCCGTGTCCTCCTCACCCCCTCCTTCATCATCATAGCGAATGATGTTCTCCCTCACATCCTCGTCGTCTTTGACAATCAGCGGCTCGTTCTTGTGCCTCCTCAGTGTCACGAAGAGAACGACGATAACTGTCAGAGACAAAGACACAAAAGCTAACGTTAACCCCCCTGCTGGACCTTCAGTGCTGCTCCTGTGATCATATGATCACGACAATAACAGCAAAATTATTACCCTGCAATAGCACCCTCCCTCTCTCAGGAAGAAACAAAAACAAAATCTGCGTCTGAATAGAATATGAATATGACTCGGGTCCTTGTAGTACATATGCCAAGCCTGTAGGTGGTGCTGTTTCGACCACGCTTTATCATACTAAAACCGGAAGAGTCTGAACTGGAAGTTCGGAAAATTGTGAAAGAACCCAAAGATGTAGCAAACTGTAAACAAACTTAAAAAAGAAACACAAAAGGCGAAGATGTAGCATGGCAAGTAGATGATAACATGATCGAAGCCAATAACAACTCACCCAGCAGCAGGACAATACAGGCCAGAATGGCAATCAGGGCCCCCATACTGAGGCCGATAGGCAGGACGTAGGCCTCCACGTTGCAGGACTGCACGGCTCCGTCCTTGCTGCACCCACAGACTCGAATGGTCAGGGTGTTGGTGCTGCTCAAGGGGGGGTGTCCATTGTCTGTTACGATGATTGGTAGAAAGTAGAGTTCCTGTTTCTGTCGTCGGAAGCTGTCGTGCTTGGCCAGAACACTGATGGAATTATCTGTCAGGTGCAGGTAAAAAAAGATCGATGTTTGTGGGGAAATAAGAACAAACAGATCCTGAACATCCAGTACTGAAAAACCAAACTCACACGACACTCAATTTTAGAATGTTCCACTGGTTGGGTTTTGGAAAACAATAATAAAAAGATCAGTATTCTCATTGTTTTTAGAACCTGGAGGGATGTAGACCACCAGGCAACGGTGGTTTAGGATGGACCTTTGGACTAGATGTCAAGTGGGCTGGACCAGTACAATCATATTTCATAATTCATAATTCATCAAGTGGGCCAGATTGAACCTCATATCAGGGCCGTAGTTGTCGCCCACTGATCTAGATCTATTGACTTCTAAAAATGACTCTCTCTCCACCATGACCCTACCTTTGAGAACCATAATTCAAAAACTGCAATCTGACAACAAAGACAACGCTTCCATGAAGCCCTCTCCTGATTGGCTGACTGTTCTTGACAGCTATCACCTAAACATATTTGCAGAGTCGTTGAGTACAACTGTACTGTCAGAAGGCGAGGAGTCGAACACGGAGAAATATATTACAGCTGCTGACCACGAGCAGAGAGTAAAACAATCGGAGTTGAAAGAAACGGTTATTCCTAATAGGATTGGCTTCTCGGCCTAATCTCTGTTTGATGAGAAGATATTTTGGGATTTATTTCCTCACCAGCGAAGACATAATGAAATACTCTGTGCTCAGTGAGGCCAGACATCCGCGTGTTGTCAGGATCAGCAGTGTATCAGCAGAGAGGGTGGTCAAACACCGGGGCTGATCCACCAACAGCACAGATCCACAGAAATAACACAATTGTAAAATAACTGCCTCTCCTGCCTCCCCCTCCCTGCCCTCCCCCCTTCCCCCCCAAATATATGTTGAAAAAAAATCAACATATATTTGCAAATCCTATTCTTAGAAATATGAAATGGAAGGTGTTACAGTGTCACTGTTCAAAAATGCAGATTTCCGTCTTGTGTCGAAGTTTTGACAACAGTTACTAATACTAAAAAAAAATCAAACAGAAAGTGAAGAGGAGTGTTTGTGACTACAGTCGGCCCCCGGTCTCTCCTCTGTGCCGTCCCTATAATTAGAATGATGAGCAAATACAAAGGCAGCTCACAGAGGTGGCCGCTCTTCATTCAAGTGTCGTCCACAGCTGCTCTTTTAGGAGGAAACAGTCGCTGGAGAGCAGTGGAGTACAGTACAACGGACTGTATGGCGGACGAGTGGCTGCTGTTGATGTTGACGTGGCCTCGTGTGGACGAAACCAGTCATAAAGTCCTCAGACGTGTTTATCATCCCTGCAGGCGTCTGATGGTTATGACTAAAACCGGTTCAGACTGGTCTCTGTGTCTGTTTTCAGCGAGCCACTGTTTGGTGCCTGTTGTTCTCGTCCAGATCACCACTCAAACACCTAACGCTACAGGTTTGTCCATCTACGGACAGGTGCCTGGAATTGAACCCATGACTAACAGCAAATGCACCACAGTAGATCTTCTTTTTTTCAATTATATTTCAGAAAATAGTTGACTAAATATCACTGGTAAATTGTAATCTGTCTTTTGGAATGTCTTCAGAGGGGACAGCTGTGGACGAGTGGTTGAGAAGAACATCAGAACTGAAAGGTCGACGTTTGGCTTCCAGGCTCCGTGTGTGTCTGCACGTCTTGGTTGCCAAGTTGCTCATTGTACCCAGCAACAGAGGACGCACAGTCTGTGTCCTCACACTGTTGGACCGAAGCCAGTCCACGGGCAGGGTTGTGTGAGGAAGGACAACGGCATAACATGGATGTAGAGAATGTCCAACTGCAGACGTCCAGAGGACGACCAGTCCAAATGGATGGACTTTTGTCTCCGAGTCTTTAAATGTAACAAACAAAAAGCCCTCATCATTAAGGACTCTCCTCGGTGTTGAAAACATAAGGCACCTGGTACATGTGTTGCCCAGAGCTGGAAACATTACACAACGCGGTGATGAAAACAATCTGTTCAGATGTGAAGAGGCAGGAGAAGAGGATTTGGATGGAGATGAAAGAGGAAAAAACAAGTTCTGAGAGCACTGAGAGCATTCAGATGGACAGGCAGCAGCATTTAGCAGCAGCATTTAGCAGCAGCAGCAGTGGTCGTTCTGTAGTGAGATGAAAGACGACCAAAGAAAACATTTTCGATCCTTTTTCCTTTAATTTCCTTCAAAACACACTGAGGAGTGGAAACAGAGCTGATGTGGAGAACAGACACTTTCACACCTGCCCATCGGTTCTCCATGTTTCATCTGCAGTGTGCGGTTAGACCAGGAGTGGCAAACATATGGCCCGTGGACCCAAACTGGCCCATTAGGGGGTTCACTTGGGCCTGCTTGATGAATTTTGAAAGTAAAAAGACACAAACTCTAAATTCTTAAAAACATGCTATTCCTTAATCATTCACTAGGGGCGCCCTGTGTTAAAAGACAAGTAGATGTAGGTTCAGGAGCAAATATAATTATCTCATGATTGTACTGGTCGACCCTGGGCCAAAATGTGTTTGAGACCCATGGGTTTGACATCCAATGATGGAGGCATAGACACACAAATCACAAAAACCCATCCAAACACTACAGCCCAGCACAACTGGGATTCAAACCAGCAACCCTGTGGCCCGGTGCTTTTGGACCACTACAGCGTCAACAAAGACCCCCACAGTCCAGCCTCTGGTACCGGGGGGTATTTAAAGGTCTCTTACCGGGGTTGTGTTTGATGGTGAAGTTGGGGTTGTTCAGCATCTCGGGGACCAGGCGGTAGCCAAAGCTGTGGCCCTGGACCGGCTCGTCTTTGTCCACGGCACTGACAGTCTGAATCACCTGTGTGGAAACACAGAGCAGAAGATTTCCACAGACGCTCTCTCCCGGCCATTACAGCAGGCAGACAATTTATTACTCTATTTTTGCCACCTGAGATTGCCTGGCTGTAATGGCGGCTGGATCACACCTGATGAAATATACGCTCTGTTCATTCCAGGAGTTTGAGATTATTATCAATGAGTTGGCGTCTCGTCTGGCACACTCTGCCCCTCCTGGCTCTATCTGTTAATCTGTCACCCTGGGTCTTATTATGCAGTATGTCTTTGTGATTGATTGGAAATTAGAATTTCGTCCCTGCAGGAAACTTTCTCTTTTCCACTCGTCTAGCTCTCTCAATAAAGCCTGCCATTGTACGTGTGAAGGTACTCTGAATGGGGTCGATTGATGAGATAGAGAATCCTTAGTACTTATCCAGGAATTTTTGGCACGGGTGATGATGGTGCCATCTGGAGGGAGACATGAAAGACAGTCCTGAATTATGATCCACTCTAATCAATCCTGACTGCTCTCATTTCCCCCACAGTCCGTCAGGGGAGGGCAGTAGCAGAGGACCAGGACCGGGCCCCCGCCGTCCCGATAAACAGGCCCGTAATTCACCGCAGCCAATCATTAGAGAGAAAGAAAGGAGAGAAAGAAAGAGACCACAGGGAGGCCATGGATCACTCACCTGTCCGGGCTTTCCATTTTCACACAGAAAGGCCTCGTATTCACTGGCGAACTCCGGGGCGTTGTCATTCACGTCCATGACTCTGATCGCCACGATGGCCCTGGAGATCTGACTGTGGTTTCCTGTAGACACGTAGAGAAACAACCAATCAGAAAGCTTCGTCTTCTGCTCACTGTTTGAGAATGTCTCACGATGACTTTTTACTTGACGATAACATTCCTTAAAAATGGACGACTAAAAAAGAAACTAGAAAATTTAAGACGTGGTGTTGAAAACATGATAGACAGATTAGGGCAGAGGGAGGGGCAAACCTCCTGCAGGGGCAGATAGGAAGTAAAATCTGGTTAGTCAGATGTCAGTCTGTGATTGAGTGGCTGTGGAAAATAGCATTATTATAGAAATAGATTCACATTTATTCTTCTCAGAGAAAACAGACCCTTTCTGCCACACCAAACCCTGCAGAGAAAATCTGTGATTCAAATTCACTGCTGCCTCCATCACTGAGGTGGTGTCAAAGGTGGTCATTCAGTTACCTCAGTTCATCAGCTGACTACAGTCTATTTATATTCACTGTAAGGTGTCCTTGGGTGACAGAAAGGCACCTAAAAATGTATCATTACATTATTATTATTATTATTATTATTATTATTACAAAGTTATTATTATTATTATTATTATTATTACAAAGTTATTATTATTATTATTAATACTATTATTAATATTATTTATAGATGAAATATTTATTGACCCCCTCCCGGGGGGGGGGCGCTCTGTCTCCAGTCACAGCTGCTGTAACGAGCGGCGAGATAATGAATTTTAAACGTATGGCTGCGAGACAGAGTGAAACATTCAGTTTATTATAAGACAACACTTTTTTATCTGTTTGCTGCGATGCTGGGATTTGTCTTCGCCCGGTGGGCAACACATTACCCCGGTGTTTGTGTGTTTCATTCTTCCGGGCAATTAATGTGTGTTTCCTTTGATTAAGGAGGAAGAGGGGCAGATATAGGATGTGTAGGAGATTAAGTAGATGAGAGGGAAAAAAAGGAAAGTTACAAGATGAGGAAATTTATATTCCTACAGCCCTGAGAGCTACGTTAGGCTTTATTACAGCATACAACACCCCCCCCCCGCTCCCCCTCCCCCATCGGAACAATCTGTATGCAAATAGAGTCTTGCACATGGTGGGAGCTGTTTGTGGCTCTGCCGGCGTGATTTTCTACAGCGTCAGTGAGTTTTGTGGTTCGCAGATGTTCTTTAATCTGTAATGAATGCTGGCGTCGGAACATTCCACTCTGGAGCACGTCTTTAAAACGGTTTATTTGATACGTTCTAATGTTCCTGCACGGCTACAAAGCCACTCCTGAGGGACTTCGACCAATCACAACGCAGCAAATCAATGTGTCTAATACCTGTCTACAGTTACATGATGATCCTTCATGTGTGTGGAGTTTTGGTGGAAGAGTTGAAGTGTGTCAGCAGAACCAGAGTACTCTGTGCGTGTACTGCAGTTTTCCCGTGTTTTAAAAAACAGGTGTGGCCGTAAATGAGGAACAGACTGTGGACGATAAAACCCACACGACAAACGGCAGACGCCCAAACTCTGATTTTAGGTTCACTCACGGACTTCGGTGGCGGTCACCGTGATGTTGTGCCACATGTCGGTCTCTCGGTCCAGCGGCTTGGCCAGCGTTATCTTGCCGTCGTCCACGTTGATGTTGAATTGCCTCTCCAGGTCCGTGTGCCGATCGATGAAGTATCTGCAAAGACAACACGTCGTGAAAAATTTGAGCCCAACTCTCGGGTGACAGCAGCAGCCGAGGCCTTCTCGGCCCCCGCCCCCTGGGTTTTGCGGCCGGCGGTGCCATATCCATCAAGAGCAACCTGAACATGGATGCACTTTTAAACAGCCAGAAATCAATGGTTATCACTTGAGGAACAATTACTGGCTTCACATGAGCAGCAGGAGGCAGTTTAAGCTCCACGCGGCCGTGGTGACATTACCGTCGTACAGAAAGAGTCATCTGGTGCGGTGTAGTGTCAGCGTGAGAGATGAGGTGTTGTTAACCCTGGTTTGGTTATGTCAACACTCAATGGCTCCCAGAGGCTTTGTATTAATGAGAAGGAACTGCCCCGTGTTAGGGATGAGCTACGACAAAGAGGACGGGGGCGGGGCTTCTGATGGAGATGATGAGGACACATGTGACCTTGTCTGACCTCCTGACAAATAAAGACGCCTGTATTCTTGTCAGGAAATGAGGTGCGATGTACTCTGAATACCACAGTACTCTGAATACCACAGTACTCTGCCTGTTTTTTTTCCATCCGCGCAATTAAAAAAAAAAAATCCAAGTAACGGGAGGCTTTGTAATTAATTCACTGAAACTAATTACGTTTTAATCAAACAGTCATATTTGACACATAGATTCAAATAGACTTTGGTTGTTGACTGAACATACAGAATGTCATCATGTAGCAGCTAGCGCATAGCATGTGTTAGCAGAGACATTAGCGCTCATCAGTGGTTGTGTGTGAGTCAAAAACATGCAGTCGACCAAAACTCAGGACCTCAGTGATTCACCCGGGTTCATTATGTACAAGTGTTTCTCCTCCTCCTCCTCCTCCTTCACTCTTCCAGTCCCTGATAGCAGGTTTCATTTGTCTTTCTTCTGAGCGCTAACATTTCACTAACACAATTTTTAAACTCGATCATTTCCTCCCTCCCTCCTTTCTTCCCTCCCTCCCTCAGATTCCACTTGTTGTCAGTGACACTCATCGGTGACATTTCCACTTCTGAGATGAAGTGAGGAGAAATCCTCCTGATGCCGGGCTGAAGGGGGGTCCGTGAAGACAAACACCGCTCACCCCCCCGACCCCCACCTCCACCTCCACCTCCAACCCCCCTTCCTTCCACCCCTCTCCACCCCCTGCTCTCTTGCCCTGCAGACACAGAAGACTTTTAAGACAGGCAGACAGCAGCAAACCACCTGGGAGCAGAGTGGAACCCAGCCAGTCTGACTCTGACAGGAAGTGAGGAGACGGAGCCTGGAATGTTCTGCTACCTGTCACTCAAAGTGACACCTCTACGTCAAAAGACTTAACAGCCATTTAAGAATAAAAACCCATTTTTATATTTATATATATATATATATATATATATATGTGTGTGTGTGTGTGTGTGTGTGTGTGTATGTATAAAAGTTGTAGATAATCTGTCTTTTTTGTGGGGCTACATTAACGAACAACAAAAACAACAACAAAAGAACCATCGTGTTTTAGCTTGTGATGACTCAACCTCATCATGTGTAATTCTTTGCTCATGTCACTGGTTTCTAAAGTAGGGGTTGCCCCCACACTAGGGGCCACAGGTCTGATGTTTGCGGACGTCCATCCATCACTGCACCGTACCAGCCCCCCGTGAACCTTCCTGCGGGTGGTGAGTCCACTGGAAGGTACCAACCGCCCTAACCAGGATTCGTTCTTGCCCAGGAGGTGAACCCTGGGGTTCCACACCAGTGACAGAGACATTGCCTCTGGGCCAAAGCGCCACATGTGGGGGGACGGAGCAAAGTCAAATATTTTTCAAATGTTCCTCAGTTGTAGAGGTCGTTCTGTCCTCTGTTCAATGATCAACATTACTGAAGAAAAGACAGTGTTTTTTTCGCAGGAACATGGGTGGGGGGGGGGCAGTGGGGGGACGGTGGTCAGGACTCACTGACTTATGTTTTTAACTGTGATTTTTTTTCACACCAAAAAGATCAATAAATAAATGAAAAAAAAAAGAAAAAAAATCAGAAAACACTCCTTCATCATAAAACTCTAACCTTTAACTTTGTGCCGTGAAAGTTTGAAAGGATCTTTGACTCCGATCAGGTTGATGTTGTTTGTTCTGCAGATTTGACTCCCCACGCTGCTGATCAAATGTTGCAGCTTATTGGAGTGAAACTGTCGGAGCGGTCGATGTTTAGTCAAGTAAACAGTGAACTGTGATTTTATTACATTAGTGGACGTGACCCGACTGTGGAAACGGTGGAAAAATATTCTGATCTGAGGAAAATAAATTCATGAGATGATGGAGTCTGATAAGTTGTAGATTAAAAAAAAATCTTGTCTTTGATAAACAATGAATATAAAAGAAAATCGTGTTTAATTCACTTTGTGAAATATGATAATAAAATGAAGTGGATTAAAATAAAAACAACAGTTTTTTCACCCAGGGTCAGATCAGCATCAGGTGTCAGCCGTTACTGGACAAAATGTGAGGATGAAAATACTCCATAACGTAGTAATACGCATCTCTGGTTTTGATTGTGTTTTATTGGTTTAGGTTTGAAATGTTGGCCGAGAAATTACAAAATAAAAGCCTTTAAAAACACAAAGAACGAGCGGCTGAATATATGTGTTTTAATAATATCACAATGTCAAGACCATGAAACAGTGTGTGTGTGTGTGTGTGTGTGTGTTTTTACAGAGTGGTAAAAGTGACATTGCGGCTTGTTATTAGGTCAGTGATTCCACTGGGACCCCGGCCTTTAAGCCCACCTCCACTAACTATAGCTCTGTTTATGTGAATCCCTAAAAAAATGTTTTTAAACTATTCATGAATATAAAAGGTTCAGGAGGCGAAGAGAAAAAGACCGGAGTCAGGAGAGCCGTGTTTGGCTGCAGCTAAGATGTTTCACCGTTAAAATAAAATCTCTGGGAAACAACAACGACAGCAACGACGACAACAACAACAATGTTTTTTTATAGACGTTAAATGAAGCCATTGGCAGAAGAATTAAAAAACTGAATTTTTACTCGGCTTTTTCCACATTTCCTTTTTTTATTTTTCCTCTGGCGAAAGTCTGGCAGCAGAGGTCGACTCAAGAGGAATAATCTAGAACTAAAAACAGAATAATCCACGCAAAATGTAGACTGGATTATCATTAACCTCATTCACAACGTTAGTCAATTTAATTAAATAAAAGCATGTTAAAGAAGCTAGATTCAAAAGAATAAAAAACAAAGGAAGAAAAATAAACAAAAGAGAAAAACATCCAGAGATAAAAAAGAAATAAAAAAAGTTGAAACAAAGAAGAGAAAAAGAAAGGAGGAAAAAAAAGTTGAAAAAAGAAAAAACTACAGTAAAAGACGTGACAAAAAAACAATCGCAACAAAACGTAGAAACAAGTTAATGGAAAAAGAAAAGGAAAAAAGAGAACAAAGTGAAAATAATGAAGGGAAAAACTGCGACAAAGATTTAAAAGAAAGAAGAAAAAAAAAAAACTTTTATCCCTGAACCTGACGCCATCCGTTCAAATTAGTTTACTCTGTGTTTTTCCTGAAAACATTTACCAAGTGCCAAAACAGGAAGCTGGTGTCTGGAGCGTTTTACAGCAGCAAATGTATTAAGAGAGTTTGTCAGCAGGGGGCTGCCAACCAACCAGCTGCACCACAGTCATTCATTATTTAGTCAAATGAAGGGAGAAGAACTTCCAGACTTTCACTCCCAGTAATCAGATACTCAGGTCCAACTCTATGCTGATGATGAACCACTTATAACTGGATAAAAGTCACAATTCTTCAACTAGAACTGTGGGTGACTGTGGGTTACAAAGTGGATAATAAAGAATTCTTGAACTGGACAATCCGGTACATTTTTCAAAAAAGTTAAATTAAATAATTGTATTTTTCTATATCACATTCTTATTTTGGAAGAAAAATTATTAAAATATTTTCCATTTTTATATTTGATGTTTAAGGCCTCTCTTTCTCAAAATAATTTATCAAGATAAAATTTGAGCAAAATATGAGACTTTAGAAACCACAAAAAAAATTATTGGACATTTTTTTACTACATTCAGTCACATTTTTCTTGCACAGTTTTACAATAAAACTTTAACAGACAAATATGTGTGCCAAAAATGTGCCTTTGTTCCCCTGAGCCAATCATGAGGTCCCTCACAGACGACAATAAAAAACATTATATGTTGTATCGTATGTTTTTATCTGTACAAACCACTGTATGAGTTGCTGCCACCTAGTGACTGGAGGCTCGTTATCATTCAAGCATTACAGCAGTGCTACACTTTTGTCCAGTGTGCCATATTCCACTGGAAGCCCCTCACGGTCCCCCGGCACCTCAGCGTGCCCCCCATGGAGCCCCGCCCCACTACTTAAGAATTACTGCCTTAAATTGAAGATTTTTTTTTAATCTTTTTTCTTTTTATTCATCTGTTTTCCGATGATGTCTGTGGTCGTTGCGAAGCTGCTGCAGTAAATCACAGTTTGCTACTTTTTTAGCGACCCCAGTGAACGCCCCCTAGCTGTGACACTATGATAGCTGTTCAGGTCAGAGACAGAGAGAGTGTGTGTGCAGTGACAGTGTGTGTGTCGCGAGAGTGCGTGCGAGCAGCGGCAGAAGCCAGCGTTCCGACCTGTTTACGCCCCGGTGAAACAAACACATCTCAGAGGGGAAGGTGACCGTTAAGTACCGCTTCTAGGACATTAGTACCGATCCAGGACTGAGCTAAAACCCGTGACATCCATATTTGATGGAGACGCTCTCTCCATACACTCAGCAGCTGTTATAAAATGTAACAGGACATATCAAGTCACCTGGGTGACTGTGTCGTATCTCTCCGAGGAGTATGCATTAGCTGCAGTGGTACTGTAGTACTTTATATTGTACCACGTGAAGTGTATTTGTTCACGCAGAGTGACTCTAGTTTTCCATTAAACTTGTGTTGGAAAACAAGATGCACGTGGACTGGACTGATGATGACGAGAGAGTCCTGCTGATATTTATGGTTTCTGTGTACTTCTGTGTACTTCTGTGTACTTTTTTCTTCAAATAAATACATTTGAATTCCTGCTTCAGCAGCAGTTTTTTTTTTATCTTATTTTCGTGACAGTGAAGGAATCAAACTTTAAATTCCTGTAAATGTACC